GGAGAAGATATAAATTACTAATATTGTGAATGGAAGCAAAAGATTTCACTATAATCCTATGGACATAAAAAGGATCACAAGGACATATTTCAAGTGACGTCATGCCAATAAATTTTTAGATGAAATGGACACAATTTCTTAAAATGAATCCCCAAACAGGTACAAAACCTGAGTATACTTGTCTATTAAAGAAATCAAACTCATGATTTAAAAGCTTCCCACAAAGAAACTCCAAGCATAGACGGATTCACCGGGGATTCTATTAAGCTCTTACGGTAGAAATAAGGCCAACTCTATATAAACTCTCCTAGAAAAACTGCTTGTCTCCGTTATGTTTCATTCTTTTTCTGGAGTTTTGTTCTGTTCTTTCATTTGGGGCATATTTCTTTGTCTCCTTGTTTTGGCAGCCATTTTGTGTTGGTTCTGTGTATTAGGAAGAGCTGCTTTGACTCCCTGTCTTAGTAGCATAGCCTGCTGTAGAAATGTGCACCAGTTAAGTTGGACAGGGCGGAGCCTGAGGTAATCACCAGGGTGGGGCGGCCTGCATCACTGCTCTGTGGCTTTGTCGGGGGAGGGCTAAGAGAGGGGACAATGCCACTGGTTGGCCTCTGGAGTTTTGTCCAGGAGGACGCTGTCTCCCAGAAGCACAGAGTCCCAAACAAGATAAACCCAAAGAGGACCACACCAAGACACATCATAATTGAAATGCCAAAGGTTAAAGATAAAGAGAGAATTTTAAAAGCAGCAGAAGCAAAGCAGAGAGTTACCTACAGAAGACTGTCAGCTGATTTCTCAAAAGAAACTTTGCAGACAAGAAGGGACTGGCAAGAAGTACTCAAAGTGATGAAAGGCAATGACCTACAACCTAAATTACTCTGTCCAGCAAAGCTATCATGTTGAATGGGTGGGCAGATAAAGTGCTTCCCAGATAAGATAAAGGTAAAGGGGTTCATCATCACCAAGCCATTATTACCTGAAGTGTTAAAGGGATTTACTTAAGAAAAAGAAGAAGATCAAAACTAGGAACATTAAAATGGCAACAAATTCACAACTATCAACAACTGAATCTAAAAAAACAAACCAAACAAACAACTAGAACAGGAACAGAATCATAAATATGGAGATCACACGGAGGGTTGTTGGTGGGGAGCGGGGAGGGAGAAAATGGGGGAAAAGGTACAGGGAATAAGAAGCATAATTGGTGGGTACAAAATAGACAAGGGGAAGACAAGAATAGTGTAGGAAATGTGAAGCCAAAGAACTTATATGCATGGCCCATGGACATGAACTAAGAGGGGGGATTGCTGGAGGGAATAGGGGGGTACCGGACAGAGGAGGGACCAAGGGGGAATAATTGGGACAACTGTAATAGCATAATGAATAAAATATATATTTTTTAAAAACTGTCCCAGAAAAAACACGCAGAGCCCAGGAACACTTCCCAACTCCATTGTATGAGGCCAGATGAACACTGTAAGAAAAGGAAACTATGGACCAATATCCCTTATAAACTTTACAAACATTTGCAAATTGATCCCAAAACAAACAGAAATTATACCATGACCAAATGGAGATTGTACTAGGAATGCAAGATTAGTTTACCGATTTAAAATCCATCAGGAAAATTCACTATTAACAGGATGGAGGGGGAAAAAATCCATGATTTTCTCAAAAGAGACAGAAAAAGCATTTGACAAAATTCAACACCAATTTATAATTAAGACTCTTAATAAATCTGAAATAGAAAGAAAAAGAAAGCTCTCCCCCCAATAAAGGACAACTAAAGAAAATTGCAGCTGAAGCCGTTAATAGCTGGTGAAAGACTGTACACTTTCCCTCTGCAACTGAGGACAAAATGAGAATGCCCACTCTCATGCCTCCCCGTTTTCAGTTGGGCTAGATGTCCTAGCTAGTGCAATACAGCAAGAAAAAGAAATAAAATGCATCCAGATTTAAGAGCAAGAAGCAATTCTCTATATGCAGGTGTAAAAAAAGACAGGAAATCTATGAAAAGGAATTAGACCTAATAAGTGATGGTTTAGCTAGATCAATACACAATAGCAATTATGTTTCTATGAACTAAAAATTACTGGAAATTAAAATTTAAAAATCCATTGACAATAGCATTAAAAGTGTGAAATAGTAATAAATTTATAGACATATATTTAAGAACTTTACACTGACAACTATAATACAGTATTGAGAGGCACTAAACAAGAGATATGTCATGTGCGTGATTCAGAAGACTGAACGTTAAAACAGTAATTCTCCCCAAATCGTTCTATATGTTTGATCCAATTTCCGTCAAAATTCCAGTAGACTTTTCTTTTGGTAGCAATTGACATAATGATTCTAAAGTTCATTTGAAAATAAAAGGAAGCTGCAATAAGCAAAACGTTTTTGAAAAAGGAGAGAAACCCTTGGACTTGCATTTCCTGAATTTACGACTTACTATATAAGTCTACAGTAATCAAGGTGGCGTGGCACCAGTTTAAGGACAGACATGCGTATTAATGCAACAGAACAGCAAGTCCTGAGAAAGACTTGTACAATATGGTCAACTGAGTTTTGACAAAGGTGTCTCAATAATTCAGGGCGGAAAAGGATCGCCTTTTCAACAAACGCTCTGTAGTGGATGGGTATTTGTATAGAGAAAATGAACCTCAGTTCTTTTCCCTCTTATTACAAAGCCAGATTGGGGGACATTCTACAGACTCCTCAAGAATGCCAGGCTCCTGACCAACAAGGAAAGCCTGAGAAATTGCGAGAGCAGAGAAACCTGGGGAGACATGACTAACTGCGGCGTGGGAACATGCGCCGTTTTACTGGAACGGAAAAAGCACGTCAGGAGAAAGCTGGTGGAATCCTGAAAAAGTACAGGGTTTAGTTAACAATAATATCCAAAAAAATGTATGATTAAGTCAAGGGACTAATAAGCTTTTTATGTTGAAAGGTGTTTCTGCAGTAGAAAAAGTTAGAATTCATTTTTATTCTAAATTTACTATCAAGGGAATGGAACTGTTTTCTTTTTTTTATCCTCACCCAACGACACGCGTATGGATTTTAGACAGAGGGATAGGGAGGGAGCGAGAGAGAGGGAGAGAAGCGTTGATGTGAGAGATGCGGCTCAGTTGTCTCTTGCACACACCTTGACTGAGCAACAAATCCACAACCTAGGCCAGGGCCCTGACTGGAAATCAAACCGGAGACCTTCCGGTTTATGGGACAATGCTCCAACCAACCGAGCCACACCAGCCAGCACCTGAATTGTTTTCATAAAGAGCTACGCAAGCATTAAAGTGATTTAAAGCAACGAGTGCTAATGTGTAAGCCTTGTCACTTTAAAGATAAGCAGCAGGCACAGAGACATCATTGCCTTACATGCCCCATCTGGCAGGATATGGGTGGCTTCACTATCCTATTCTGTAGCCATGAAGCTACGAAAATTAAAATCAAGTTAATGTCAAGTTTTGAAAGGGAAAATAAGCCTCAACTCCTCCCTCATACCACACACAAAAACAAACTCAAAATGGGTCGCAGACCTGCAATAGCTAAAACTATAAAACTGCTAAAAGAAAACATAGGAGAAAACGTCCTCACTATGGGATAAACTAAGATTTCTTAGACAGGACACAAAAAGCACAAACCAAAAAAAAAAAAAAACCAGATTGATAAATTGGGCCTAATCCAAAGTGGAGATTCCTGGTCATTAATTAAGACACACTAATAAGGCAATGAAAAGGCAGCTTGCAGACTGGGAGAAAATATTATAATGCACATGGGACAAAGGGTGTGCATGTCAAACACATCAGGGACACTCACAACTCAGTGATAAGAAGGAAGCAACCGCCACTAGCACCAAGTCAGAAAGGGTTTGAACAGGCACCTCATTAAAGAATAATTATGAATAACCAGTAAATACTTTAAAGATACTCACCATCATGAATCACTAGGAAAACCCCAATGAAAACCTAATGCAATCCTACCACACACTCATTTGAATGAATCACGTAAAGACTGCCACCACCAAGTGCTGGGGACGAGTGGAACCACGGAAGCCCCTACACTGTGTGGGTTGGGAACACAAGCTGGGGCAGCCACTTTGGAAAAACTGATACTCAATATTTAAAAAATAAAGTGAAACACGTACTTCACCGTATGCCCCAGAAATCCCGTAGAAATGAAAGTATGCGTCCTCACATACACGCGCCCAGTAGCCCTCTCCATAAAGCCCCGAACTGGAGACAGCGCACATGTCCTTCAGCAGGTGACTGGTGAACAAGCCGCGGTCCTTCCCCCCACGGGACAGGCCTCTCCAGTAAGAAGGACTGAACTACGGACACACTCAGCACACGGGTGAGTGGAGAAGAGCACACATCATGTACTTTCTTTTATCTGACACCCTTGGAAAGACAAATCTCATCCACGGTGCGGGAAGGCAGGTCGGCTGCTTACAGAGCGGGTAACGCGAGGGGCACAAGAGACCTTTCTCGAGTGATGTAAATGCTGTGTGTCTTGGTTTTGGTGATAGTTGCAGGGGTGTCTAAATTTCCCATAGCTCATCAAAATACACGCTCCAACAGGAACGTTTGAACATGCACAAGGTTTACCTAAGTGAGAATGATAAAAAGTCTGAGAGGAAACGAGATTTTAACGCGACAGCACCACTGCCTGACTGAGATGCCCCAGGGGCGGCTGGTTGCAGGTGGCCCATGCCCGTGGCTCACAGTTTAAACCGGCAGGCCAGGCTCTGCCCACAGGAGGACAAGAGTGGGCTGTCGCCCAGTGTCTGCTCAGTCCTTGGGGAGTCGGAGCGGGGGGTCCCTGAGGAGCTGTCATGAGCAGAGTATAAGGTTGTCTCTGCAGCTGCATATGGCTTTCGATCTTCTAAGAGTTCGGGGCTTTAGGTGCTAATATGTAACTAATATATATTCATCCCATGGGTAGCCTGGAGCCTTCTTTTTTTCTTTTAATTTTTTAAAATGATAGCAGGGCCTTACCAGAGAGCTGCTTGACGGCCACAGGTCTCACTTTGTAGGGAGTGCTGCAAGACAGAGGACAGTGCACCGTGAGAGGCTGTCGGCGACGGCGGCGGCCCGTCTGGGCCCGGAGATGAGCTCTTGGGGGAGTTAGAATTCAGGAGATTGGATGTTTTCTGTTTTTGAAGTTAGTTCCTTTGGCTGCTCTGATCGTCCTCATTCAGAAGAATTCTAAATAGTTTAAGTATATGATTTAAACGATGAACATCCCTATAATGTGCCTATTTGGACAATAAAACAAATCTTGTGCTCGGTGCCATGGTGGCTGCTCGGGTGCAGAGCCCCGCTGGGGTGGCAGAGGCCCGTCAGACCCGCCCGCGCCCGTCCCAGCCCCGGGACGCGGCAGGCAGGCCTCTCCTGTCCTTCGCTTGGCTGCGGCTGCCGGGGGCCCACGGCTCCGTTGAAAATACACTGCCATCTTGGCGACGCCACCCCGGGAATCATGAGACCCAGACAGAATGGGGAGAGAATACTGGTGATATTTAGGACAGGTGAAAGGTCACACCTCAAATGCAGGGAGGAGGCCACGGGCGGAGGGTGGGAAAAAGCGCAGCCGCCAGAACAGGGGTTCTGCCGGGGTCCCAACCAACATCCTGCCACCTGGGAACCTCCAGAAACGCCGATTCTGGGCCCGGACCTGGACGATCAGAACCTGGTGGGGGTGAGGGGGCGGGGAGGGGCGCTCCGCTGGACCGACCCCCGCCCCAGCCGTGGTGGTGCTGACCACCGCTGGGCGCAGGCCGGTGAGCTTTGAGCGACGACCAACAGCTCTGTGAAGAGAAGGTGGTGGAGACCTCACACACAAGCCAGGGTTCCCGCCCTCTGACCCCTGACGCTGGGCAGGTCCATTTCCGTGGTGGGACTGTCCTGGGCTGCATGTTGGGGACATGCAGCTGTGCCCTGGGCCCTAGGGGCCAGTGGATGCCAGTGGACCCCTTCTTCCGCCTGTGACAGCCGTAATGTCTCCAGACATGGCCAGCTGTCCCCCCGTTGAGAAGTGCTGACCCAGAATGAAGTACCAAACCAGTGATAATGAGTGATAAAGTCTCAGTAGACAGACTGCACTCAAACTGTTTCAGCTGAATTCAGGAAAAAGGCGGTTTCGCCCAGAGACCAGCTTGCGCTGACAAGGCATTGACAAGGGTTGAGTGACAAGATCATTCTTGTCTTGGGGACAAGTCATGGTGACTCGTCAACTTTCCTTCTGAAGCGAGCGGGAGCGTATGCTGAGATTTAGGAGAATTTCATTGGAGTCTTTAGGGAGCCAATTAGCACCACTCCTGCTGGGGACCCCGGAGCCCACCGTCGGGACAGAAGCCCCTGATGAGCGAAATCCGGGGGACTGAGGGGCACAGCAGCAGGGGGAGGTCTGTGCCGGCCACGGTGCCCTAGGACGTTGCACCCCCCCTCCCGGGGCGCTATTTGACCTGCTCCACGCACCAAAGCCTGGGCTGTCCTCAGTCCTCAGGACGGCGGCACCCTTGCTTGGGGCTGGGGGCCTCTGCACCCGGCCCAGCAGGGATGGCTGAGGGCTGGCTTCTGGGGGCGGGAGGAAGAAGAGCAGGGGCCTGTCCCTGGCGCGCAGGCGAGCACATGCCCAGGTGGGGTGAGCCCACAGGGGAGGTCCCAGAGCACCTGTCAAGGGAAGCCCACATATTTTCAAGCTGTCATGAAGCAGCGGCAAGCCCTCCAGCAGAGCACAAGAGGGTCTGCCTGGCGCAGGTTTTGCCCTGCAGGCTCGGAAAAGCTGGTGCGGCTCAGTCGATGCGACACCCCGAGGGCCGGGTTAACACGTGACTCTCAGAGGGGGTGTTCAGTGAGCACCAGCGGACGCGCTGGGGACCCAGGGGGCACCCCCGCCCCCAGTCACTACTCCTGTTCCCTGCGGAGAACACAGTTTACGTTCTGCCTCGCCCAGCTGGTGGGTTGAAGTGGGGACCACTGGGGACTTCGCAGACTGCTGGGCAAAGGGGCCGGCCAGGGATGGAATGGCCCTGGCTCAGAGTCCTTGTCCTTCTTTCCTCTGGCCACACACAGCTGGGCTTCACTGAACGTACTTATGTTCACAAATGTGTTCACTGCTGACCCCTCTCCCAGACACCCCTGCTCCCACCTTGCAGGGCTTCCTCCCCTCCCTGGCGCAGAGAGGAGCTCTGCGGGCAGCGCCTCATCAATGCCAGGATTCGTTCCAGTGGGAAAATTGTCCCCCGGGGCGCTGGTCAGGGGCTGTCCTGCTTTCCTTCAAGAGGTGGACGAGGGGGAGGCGCTTAACACAGGGTCCGCCAGCCTGGTTCCACTACTCGTCACTCAGCCCCCATGCCTCGGTTTCCCCATCTGAAATGGTAGTAACACCAATCCATGCTCACAGGGCTCTTGCTGGGGACTGGATGTGGAGCCCGGGCACACTCCTGGCACGCCTGAGGTTGTTACCATCTTGGTAAGGAAGCCGCCGAGCGAGGCCTCCTTCCCCGTCCCTCCCACCGCCACCCTCCCATCTTTGGTTTGGATCCAGGCTTCTACAGCAGTAAATTACGAAAACCATCACAGAGATCTTTGTGTGGGTGGGGAGAAGTGTGCGAGACACCATGGAGACAGGAGAGGGCGAAGCCGCCGGTCACTCACCGTTCGGAATTTGCGGGCATGGTGGGGTCGATGGAGACCATGGCGTCGTCTGTGGTCAGCAGGGAGATGGTCGTGTTCCTGGAAGACACGCCACGTCAGTGCCTTCACCCAGGATGGTGTCCCTGGGGCGCGCCCTCGAAGGGGCCTCACGTGAGAGCGGGGCCCGGAAACCCAAGGCCAGGGCACTCGTCCTTCGGACACGAGGCTCCGTTGGTAAATACGGCGGAATGGCGGAGCGACCTTAAGTGCTCCATAGATTTCAAGTGATTTCAAATGGGAATTGGAGAAAGTCTAATTTATTGAGTTGGAAGAGTAAATAAAACTGGGGCAAAATGGATGGAAATAAACACTGTATTGGCCAATGATGGATTCGGTTGCCTTCCTCCTCCACTCTCTTGGGAGAGCGCCTGCAGGGGCACGGCTCCTCCCACCGAACACTTCCAGGTGGGCAGGTGGGTCCCCTCCAGCCTCTCGCCCCGGGGGCCTCCCAGGGGTGCTGGGGCCTGGACCGCGTTGTGCGTGCTGTCTGCTCTTCCGGTGGGGTTTTTTAGGTCTGTGCAATGTGCGGGGGGCGGGGGGGCACTCGAATCTCAGGGTTGTTCTAAAGAATAATACGTACGTATTTCTTAGCACAATGCTTACTAAAAGAGGCCTCAATCTGTGGGCTGTTTTTGCTGCTACAAAGTGCCTGCCATTTGCTGTAATTTCAGCTCCTGAACCCCTTCCTCACCTGTCTGGGAAAGACTCCCTGGTCCTTCTTGGTCACTTTCTTGGACCCAGATTCTGACTTTAAAGGCAACTGTCATGCCGGAGCCACTCTGGACCGCTTTACAGACAAAAGGTTACCATAGCAAAATCGATTGGCTCTAATAAACTGTTGATGTGGGAAAATAATTCTCATGGAATTCCGACAGCTCTATAAGGTAGAAAACTGGTCTTCTCAACTCATTTCTGAAGTCAGCCTTTTCCCAAATATGGATCTGTGATGACGCACCTCCCCCCGCCCCCCGCCCGCCCCAAGGCAGAGAAGACACCTGCTGGACCGTATGGGGATGGGGGACCAAAACCAAACACAGCCACCCTCCTTCATCCTTTCTCCAAAAGCAGATGAACGAAAGAAAAAGAGAGCTCCTGATGCTACTGGCTGCCTAACTCCACCCCCGGCTTCCTCCTTGCAGGCTCCGTGGTGGGCGGGCTCCAGGGTTCCACTCAAGGCCTGAAAGAGCTGCTGCAGCAGCCAGGTGGGCTCGCGGGCCCTCCCGCTCCCCTCACCCCTCCTCCTCGGATGACCCCGTCCCCAGGGGCCTTCTTGTCAAGGTGAACAGAGGCGGCAGGACGTGCGGGCCCACTCACCGAGGCAGGCCTGTGGCGATGCAGAAGAGGTCCATGATGTCGCTGGAGTTGCAGTACTTGCTAAAGACCACCTGCGAGACAGAGGCGTGGGCTGTGAGGGGCGGCAGGAGCCAGGTGACCGGTTCCTATGGGGATGTCAGAGTCCTTAGGTTTATTTTACAAGGAAAAAAGACATACCCTTGGGCACTGGAGCGTTAAATGAAATACTCGAAATGCTCATCATTCAGTGCACTCAGAGAGATTGTGACAAACTTCATTTCTTTGTCATTGAAAAGAGTTGTAAAAACAAAGCTACCACCTGAGTAAACACCACATGCCCATCTTTGGTGGCGTGACTCATTGGAGACAGCCTTGGCTGAGCAATGTCTCAGATGTCTCATTGCAGGGAGACCCCAGCGGCCTTGGGAAGGCCATTATGTTTTAAAAAAATTTTTTTAAGGTTTTTGGCTTAGAAGATAATTGGTTTTTGGGATTCGTGGCTGAGGTTGCATGACTAAACCAAAGAGGAAATCACACCGAGGAGGGATGAACAGGGACGCGGCGTGGACCACGGTCCCCGGTGCAGAATAAATCGCGCACGTGGTGCGCACCGCCTGCGTGTCCGCCCGGCCCATGGGGGAGGACGTATCGGCATCAGCAGCTTTTGTCCAAGGGGTCTCGAGCCCCACCGTGGGGGACTCTAAATACAGTGAGGGAGGCGTCTTTAAGGCTGGGCAGCGCGCGCACAGGACAGCCAGGCTGAAGCCCCACTTCCCTCACGAGTGCTTTGCTTCAGCATCTCCCTGACCCGGGGCCCTGCCTGCCGGCCAGCACGAGCCTGGGCTGGGCAGGGAAGCGAGCCTGAGCAGGTGGTGATTTCTCAGCTGAGATCAGTTTGCACTTTCCTTCATTGGAAACTGTTAAACATAATGAGTAGATATCTCCCCCCATAAATACAGCCTGTGACTAACACCACTTCCTGTGTGCCGATGGCCTGGCCAGGCTGAGACCAAGTCACCGTCAAGGACAGCGCCCTTGGTCTGCGCGGTCCACCCTGCAGCCATTGTCCTGGCTCCGCCCTGGGCCCTCGCAGCCACCGATCCAGCACTGGTCTCTGCTTCCAGTCTTGCCCCAGCACCCAGCCTTGGTTCCTAGAACTCGGATCTGGTTGTCCCACGGAGGGCCCACCCCCTCACCTGCACATGTGAGGTCCTAGGGTTTCCCTTTCTGGCCTGCACCCTCGCCATGCTCCTGTCTCTGGCCTTCACTGCAGGCTGTGGGCGCCCCCGCCCCAGCCATCCGCTCCGGCCACTGCTCTGGTCTTTCCTCCTCCCCTTTCATTATTTTCTCTCTGTTCCTGGCCATCAGGACTCAGTGGCAACTTCTCCATAAAGCCTCCTGACCCCATTGCCAGAAAGTCTTGCCTTTGACCATGCGCCAGGCCTATGTTTCCATGACAGCACATGACCAGCGGCCCCCAGCACGGGCCTTGGCGTTTCTGGCTGTGCTGTGCGATGTGGTGTGTGCGGGGGGACTGTGTCTGGGGCCCTGGCCACTCACCCGCTGACATGGGAATACCTCTGACTTGGCCATCCTGAACCTCTGTGAAGTTCATGTCTGTCGCTGGGCTGACGTTGTACATCCTGGGTGGGTCAGGTGGCACTGTCTCTGCCCAGAAGGAGCACCTTTTGTAGCTCTTAAAGGTAGACGTGACTCCTTTATAAAGGTCGCTGCCCCTGGAGGGACTCATGTGCACAGACACTACACATCGAGCAGGGGTCTTGTCCCAGTCCTTCGGCGGTCACGGGGTGGGGGTGGGTGGAAATGACCTCAGGGGTTATTTCTCTCCAGTCTCATCTGGAAAGACAGCTTCAAACCGTGGGCTTCCGGAGCCTTGACTGAAGCAGTCGTTCTCGACAACGGCACCATAAAAGGCGAGGGGGCTGCTAATGGGACCGCAGCCTCTTACGGCAGAGGGGCTCCCTGACTTTGCCAGAAGGAAACGGACTTTGCCAAGGGCGCCTGTCCTGTGATGGGGTGTTCCCATCGTGGTGGCTGGGGTGACGGCGTGGGAGCCGGGCTGCCTGGTAGCCCTTGAACACTCCCTCCGCCTCTTACCTCTTGAGCAAGCTGCTCAGCTTCTCTGCACTTCAATTTTCTCTTCTGTAAAACAGGCAAAAAGCATGTCGCTGTCGCCCACAGATGGCTGCTTTGACTCAGACACTTGCCTGAAGGCTCTGTAGGCAGCTAGAGGCCAGTGTGTGACTTCATTGAAAAAGGACCCCCTCAGAGCCCCAGAGTAAAGGACCTTGGGGACAGGCATCTCACGGCCTCGTCTGGACGATGTTCAGACCATTCCAGTGGGCTGACCGGGAGTTCCGGAACTCTTTTTAGTTAAAAGACAGACAACTTGATGGCGTGGCTAACCCTGCCCCCAGCGGAAGGAGGAGGAGGCACGTTCCACTGCGTTTGTCTGCTGTGTTGCGGATGTTGTAATGGTTCGTTTTCTGGATCGATATGAAGCTCTTCCTCTTTCTTCCTTGGCTATCTGTGACTCTTAACAACCTAAGAGATTCTTTAGCAACACGAGAAGAAACAGTTTCAAATGATATCTGATTTTTATTGTCTGCCCTCCCGTAATACAGAAACTTTTAGTAAGTCTTTACTTTTCATGGCCAAGTTGTTTTCTGCAAAGTGTCTCTAAGAATCTGTGCTCCTTCGGACCAGGGCACAATTGGGGAAATCGGTTTTGTAACCAATTTGCGCGTTCACTCAGTGTGGCCAGACTCCTGCGAAGCCGAGTGTGACTACAAGGGCTTGGTGCTTGCAAGGCCCTGCTCGGGGACTGGCCTGAGTCCTGGCCCCCAGGCTCCCGCCGTCTGGGTGGGAAGAAAGGCCTTACCTACTGGCTGCACGAGGACCCTGGGGTGTTCTGGGGACCTGGACAAGAGATGAGTTCGCCCAAATTTGTAAGAGAGTTTTGTGCGCAGACCTTCCTAGCCTTGGGACAGCGAACAATAAAAGCTTCAACAAGCCCAGTTAGGAAGTCTTCAGTGAAGGAGGCCCACATGGCAGCTGATGGTTTTCCTGTCCTGTACAACCTATCCAGCCAGACCTGGTGAGACCAGCCTCGTTCTGGGGGCCCGAACATTCCTTCTTTTGGATTACTTTTGACAACAGGCTGGGAGGCTGTAAGGAAGTTTGGGATAAGAAGCAAAGGTTCCTTGGGGTTATCTCCAGTGGTAAACCATGCTGCATCCACTGGCAAAGGCCTTCCAATATCCTGCATATAAATGCAAGGTTCTTTGATTTCTCGCTTGAACTGGTTGTAACAGCCTACCAGTTCCCTCGCTCTACTCATGCGTTGGGTAAAAATCTTTGATGTGTGGTCATTGTATGCCTTTGCCTTGCTTATTGAGTTAGTTAATGAGCCTCCAGCAGGGCCGTGGCAGGTGAGAGGCGGGGGTGACGTGGCAGGTGCAGCCTAAGGTCGGACGTGCTGGACAGCGTCTCGCCGTGGGTCAGAGGCTCCGGGCCAGGTCAGGCGTGGCTGGCGGGGGGAAGCCAGCCCCCACGGCTCCGGTGCTGGGATGGCCGGGAAGGGCCCCCTCCCTGTCAGGAGGGCACCAGGCTTTTGTCCCCATGCCCAATCACTTTGCAAGTCCTTTATCTTTCATCCAGAAACAGAGAACATCAAAAAAAAGGTGGGGAGGATTAAAAAATAAAATTTTAAAATGAGACATGGAGGCAGTAAGATTAATGGAAAAATAAAGATTTTTGTAATGCTGTCCAACTTGAAGCAAATCAAGGCTGGAGTTCATGAATGAGCGTGGTGGGTCACCCCAAACTCTTTTATGTGGTTTGATTGGCAGCCTGTGATATTAAAACAAGACCACGGAAATAAATGAGAGGGCAGAGGCCTCTTGTCCCCTGGACACTGATCTTCCCTTGTTTGCAGCTGGGCCTGCGAGTGTCGGGACCCGGGAACCCTCCTGCCACGGGCATCGCAGGAGAAGTAATACCGAGCATGAACCACAGGCCAAGCCCCGTGCTAAGGGACCTCCACAAGGAAACAGAGGCTCACAGAGCCACAGGAGCCTCCCGTGGGCCCAGCCAGCGGGTGGCAGCCAGGACTGCACCCCAGGCCACCGCTGTCCAGTGCTCACCTCTGCACACAACACCCATGGCACCAGGTCTTTGCGTGTCTTTTGATGTCCATACTCAAACCAGCTGCCTGGCAGTGGTGCTGTGGCAGGAGCTGGAGGTCCAGTGCTTGTCCCCATAGTCACTCCTTCTGTCTATTGTCTCCTCTTTCACCCCCCGCCCCCATGAGCAAGACCATTCTGCACACAGGGCTGATCACACCAGCTCTGACCGCCTCTCAGGGCCGTGATGAGAAATACGGGAGGGAACACGTTGGAAAGGAATCACTCAGAACGCCTGCTGCATGAACACAAAATCCAATGTCATACCATCTCAGGTACAGCCCCTGAGAAGGGACGAGAGGGAGGGGCCCACCAGAGGGCAGAGGGAGGGAGGCAGAAGGCGCAGGAGCCCCAGACTTCCTAGCACCCCGGACCCTGGGGCTTTTCTCGGGGCCTCGCAGCGTCCTTACAGGAGCTCTGGGTGAGCCCCACTTCCTCATCCCCCAACCCCTGCGCACACCCCCCTGGAACCGGCATAAGAACATTTCTGTTTCTTGGTATCAAATGCGCCTCAACCAATATACTTAAAGCAAAACAGACTGGTGACTGTGGAGCAGGTGGCCAGGGGGCTGCCACGCCTGCATCCAGGTGGCCTTTGGGTTCAAGAGACAGGACAGGGTCGTTTCTAAAAGACTGGGAGTGACTTCTCAACTCTCAGGCCAGAGGCCTTTTCCTGAGACACGACTAGGGTCCGCGTTTCGCTTTCTCCCCCCAGACACCCCACTCGGGGCTCACTGAGGGCAGGATGTGGGAAGGGCCCCCTCCAGGGCCCGCCTTCCAGTCGCGCGTCGCGCTGTTTGTGCCAGAAACCAGGAGGACGGTGAGTCTCCAGGTCCAGATAATCACATTTGCCCGTTACGAGGCCAGGCGGTGCAGACTGATCAACGCTGCACCGGGGGCTCCCTGGGAACTCCCCCCAGGACGCACACCCGTGCCTCTCAGGGAGACGTGCAGGGAGGGCGTGGCAGGGCTTCGCGGAGCGAGAGGAGATGGGGTGAACGGTGAGCTGGTGGAAGGCTCTGGAGTGGGAACAGGCCTCGGACCACGTGAGCACTGAGCAGGAGAATGGACACAGCGATGCCAGTGGGGGTGGGGGTGGGGGGGGTCAAGATTCAGCGAGACCAGCATGGGCGAAGAGGCGTTCACCCACAGACCAGGGCAGCCGCATCTGGGATGGCCTGGCATTGGGGCTTCCTCACCCTTGGCCTGCGGGGAGAAGCCAGGGCTTGATTTTGTCACCTCCGGACTCCAGCTGTGACCTCCTGCCCTGGACCTCTCCTGGCTCGCCACGCAGGGTTTTTGTGGCTATGAAGGGTGTTGTAATGAAGCCCCGTTTTCCAATTTGGAGGGACTAGTCCAGTGAGATCCTTTGGCGACCAGTCCTTTAATTCATCAGCAGCCCCCTCCGCGGGGAGTCTGCCCAGACTGTGCCGCACACAGGTTTTATGAAGCTCCGGCTCCAGCCCTGGCGCTGGGGAGGGGACCGAGGCGTGCACCCTGGAGCGGGGGCTCCCTGACTGCATGTGCAACCTAGGCCCAGCACCTGCTTCCACGCTCACCCGGCCCTGACCACAGGTGGTCCTGGCCACCACGCCGTCTGTCTTCAGATGTGGAGGCCGTGTTTGTCCATGTGCCCAGAGCCCAAGTGGGTGCTGCTCAGGAGGTGCTGTATCCCATTTTTGCCGGACACCAGGTCTGGGTTTTAGAGCGTGCACCTATGGACGGATGGGCGCTGCCTTACATGTGTGACTTAACATGTGTGAGAATTCACCCTTGTGAAAATGTTCTAAGAGAAAGCTTTATGCCATCATCTGCTCTCCTTTTTCTTCTTGCCTTTGTGTTTGCAGGGCATTTGACCAAATTGCCGTGGAGGGTGCACAGCCCAGAGCTGAGCCTCTGTGGCCCCAGGCGAATGAGACAGGGTAGGGAGGGGACGGCAGCCTGAGAGAGGCCCCAGCGCAGATGCCCGGCAGGAATGCGCGAGAAAGCACAGGCGTGGCACCCTTTCACACAGACTGAGCTCCACACAGACAAACGACGCATCATGGACCCGCTCCACTGACCCCGTCATTTCGGCATCTACTCGGCCCAGACGCTGCTGGCCAAGGCTGCCGAGGAAGTGACTCCTTCTGAGCGGCAGGACGCCCGCCCTGCCCAGCAGGAGGATCGCGGTGACGTCACAGGGACCTGGACAGCAGAGGGGCGGCCGGCCCCTCTCCCAGTGCCCCGGGCTCGCATCTTCTTCCGTATCTTCCACGCTGGGTGCGGGGTGAGGTTCCTGCTTCTATTTGAATAGAAATCTCTTGCAGCTGCTGAGGACATTTCCTGCTGGGCTGTCGAATTCTCGTTTGGATTGGCACGAAGTCAGTGACCACTAGAAACTGCGGGCTTCTCACACGGATGTTTGTGGGGCTACGTTATGAAATGCTCCCAACCCAGGACAAATATAATAACTGTATGGCAATTTAGGTTTGGGTTGAGCTTTGCAGGCTGCGAAAGCCAGAAACCACCAGGATCACAGGAGAAAAGTTCTGTTTGTGGGGCCAGGCGTGGTGGGGGATGGTCAGAGGACCAGCGGTCCGGGATTTTCTCTGCGAAGCCAGACACAAGCTTTTCCACCAAGCCGACGATCCCACCAAGCTGCGGTGGCGTTCGGTCCCTTTCAAAATCCCAGGGAACATCTGTGGTACCTTTCCAAGCCGTGAAAAACTATCTGGGCTAGGTAAGTCATGCTTTGGGGGTTGGTTGCTATAAAACATGCAATTACGGGCATTGTCTCACTGCTCACACCACCTGTGAAATTTTCTCTTCCATCGCCTTAGCAACAATTTCACAGCGCTCCTCTGAAGTTGGAGTAACGACTGCATAAGAGCAAAAATTTCCACCTTGTAATTCTTCTACAGTCTCTCCCCCAGGTGATTTTAAATGGCTACTGAGGAAGGTTGAGACCGGTAGAAA